CAACCAGCCTTAACTTCCATGCGTCTGTCTACAGCTGGGTGAGCTCATGCACATCATCATCCTCCTCCTGTGCGATCTCTCCTTAAAACTGAGAACCCGCCAATGCAGTAATATATATAAGCGCAGCAATGCGTGATTAAACTCTGACCACGTCCCATTTCCACGTATGATTCAGTAGTGATGGGTTAGTGATTCCTTTCCACGAGTCGGTTCTAAATTATATATATATATAAAATTTTACTGTACGTTTCACCCTATCAGTCAATATCAGTCAAATCCTCGGTTCACTATGTTCATTCTGATGATCCGTAAAAACCGTTCAGATTGATTCGTGAACGATTCATTCAATATGTTTCCTGAATGAATTGCTCAGACCACTTCAAATCTGTGAGCCGGTTCAACCGATGAATTAAAAAGATCCGACTCAAAAGAACGAGTCGCTATGATTTAGCTTTAACCACACCCCCGTTGTTTCTCATCCATCAAGGGGAGTTTTGCCCGAAAGATCGAGCGCTGCTATTGTAGTTGCTGTTTTTGACAGGGGAGACTCGTCTCGTCACTTTTTCTCGATGTTTCTTCAAAGCACCGAGAACGACATGCGTTTTAAACCGTCTCGAGACCGACTGTACAGCGCGCGCTGCTGCGGCTGCTGTCACGTGCGGACTGGAACCATCATCCTGGGTACCTGGTACATGGTACGAGGCGCAAAACATTAATTAAACATAGTCTTGTAGTTCTAAACATAAATTGAATACGTCAATATCCTTTCCTCCCGTCGTTTAGAGGCGTGTCTGTGTTTTAAACTACGTCTGTGTGAATGTTTTTGGCTGGCTCTGCCGTGTTAGCTCGATGCTAACCACTGCTAAGCTAACACAATGTTTTGAATTGGAACTATCAACAAATAAGACACGCAAACGTGTTTAGACGTGCTAAATGTTGATTAAACACGTTTTAATAACCTTGTATGTTTATTGAAGTAGTATAATATGATGTGGCGATTATTTCTAAGCGTTTATTTATCATATATTTGTAGACTGCTAACTGAGGCCGGAGGTTGAATTCACCAAACTTTCATGGGGTTAAAAGTTCAATTCGTTATCAATTTGCACGAAGTATGTTTTGATAAAGTAAATTGTTTAGAATTAAATGGCTATTATTATATATTACAGGGTAACTTTATTTTAATTAATAACTATAGTAATTAGGGTGTCAACTAGATTTTAAACAAACAAAACTCAACTGATAAACGATATTTAAGTGTGGCTTGGCAAGGTTTACAAATACTTTTGGATAAAATGGCACTGGCGGTATCAGTTCATCTTTTTAACTGTCAGTGGTAAATGCAATTGTAAATACAGGTGCATCTCAATAAATTAGAATGTCGTGGAAAAGTTCATTTCAGTAATTCAACTCAAATTGTGATACTCGTGTATTAAATAAATTCAATGCACACAGACTGAAGTAGTTTAAGTCTTTGGTTCTTTTAATTGTGATGATTTTGGCTCACATTTAACAAAAACCCACCAATTCACTATCTCAACAAATTAGAATATGGTGACATGCCAATCAGCTAATCAACTCAAAACACCTGCAAAGGTTTCCTGAGCCTTCAAAATGGTCTCTCAGTTTGCTTCACTAGGCTACACAATCATGGGGAAGACAGTTGTACAGAAGACAATCATTGACACCCTTCACAAGGAGAGTAAGCCACAAACATTCATTGCCAAAGAAGCTGGCTGTCCACAGAGTGCTGTATCCAAGCATGTCAACAGAAAGTTGAGTGGAAGGAAAAAGTGTAGAAGAAAAAGATGCACAACCAACCGAGAGAACCGCAGCCTTATGAGGATTGTCAAGCAAAATCGATTCAAGAATTTGAGAGAACTTCACAAGGAATGGACTGAGGCTGGGGTCAAGGCATCAAGAGCCACCACACACAGACGTGTCAAGGAATTTGGCTACAGTTGTCGTATTCCTCTCGTTAAGCCACTCCTGAACCACAGACAAAGTCAGAGGCGTCTTACCTGGGCTAAGGAGAAGAAGAACTGGACTGTTGCCCAGTGGTCCAAAGTCCTCTTTTCAGATGAGAGCAAGTTTTGTATTTCATTTGGAAACCAAGGTCCTAGAGTCTGGAGGAAGGGTGGAGAAGCTCATAGCCCAAGTTGCTTGAAGTCCAGTGTTAAGTTTCCACAGTCTGTGATGATTTGGGGTGCAATGTCATCTGCTGGTGTTGGTCCATTGTGTTTTTTGAAAACCAACGTCACTGCACCCGTTTACCAAGAAATTTTGGAGCACTTCATGCTTCCTTCTGCTGACCAGCTTTCTGAAGATGCTGATTTCATTTTCCAGCAGGATTTGGCACCTGCCCACACTGCCAAAAGCACCAAAAGTTGGTTAAATGACCATGGTGTTGGTGTGCTTGACTAGCCAGCAAACTCACCAGACCTGAACCCCAGAGAGAATCTATGGGGTATTGTCAAGAGGAAACTCGGTCCTGCAGAGTTTAGCTCCAACCCTAATTAAACACAGCTGAACCAGCTAATTACGGTCTTATAGGTGCATCTCAATAAATTAGAATGTCGTGGAAAAGTTCCTTTATTTCAGTAATTCAACTCAAATTGTGAAACTTGTGTATTAAATAAATTCAATGCACACAGATTGAAGTAGTTTAAGTCTTTGGTTCTTTTAATTGTGATGATTTTGGTTCACATTTAACAAAAACCCACCAATTCACTATCTCAACTAATTAGAATATGGTGACATGCCAATCAGCTAATCAACTCAAAACATCTGCAAAGGTTTCCTGAGCCTTCAAAATGGTCTCTCAGTTTGGTTCACTAGGCTACACAATCATGGGGAAGACTGCTGATCTGACAGTTGTCCAGAAGACAATCATTGACACCCTTCACAAGGAGGGTAAGCCACAAACATTCATTGCCAAAGAAGCTGGCTGTTCACAGAGTGCTGTATCCAAGCATGTTAACAGAAAGTTGAGTGGAAGGAAAAAGTGTGGAAGAAAAAGATGCACAACCAACCGAGAGAACTGCAGCCTTATGAGGATTGTCAAGCAAAATCGATTCAAGAATTTGAGTGAACTTCACAAGGAATGGACTGAGGCTGGGGTCAAGGCATCAAGAGCCACCACACACAGACGTGTCAAGGAATTTGGCTACAGTTGTCGTATTCCTCTTGTTAAGCCACTCCTGAACCACAGACAACGTCAGAGGCGTCTTACCTGGGCTAAGGAGAAGAAGAACTGGACTGTTGCCCAGTGGTCCAAAGTCCTCTTTTCAGATGAGAGCAAGTTTTGTATTTCATTTGGAAGCCAAGGTCCTAGAGTCTGGAGGAAGGGTGGAGAAGCTCATAGCCCACGTTGCTTGAAGTCCAGTGTTAAGTTTCCACAGTCTGTGATGATTTGGGGTGCAATGTCATCTGCTGGTGTTGGTCCATTGTGTTTTTTGAAAACCAACGTCACTGCACCCGTTTACCAAGACATTTTGGAGCACTTCATGCTTCCTTCTGCTGACCAGCTTTTTGAAGATGCTGATTTCATTTTCCAGCAGGATTTGGCATCTGCCCACACTGCCAAAAGCACCAAATGTTGGTTAAATGACCATGGTGTTGGTGTGCTTGACTGGCCAGCAAACTCACCAGACCTGAACCCCATAGAGAATCTATGGGGTATTGTCAAGTGGAAAATGAGAAACAAGAGACCAAAAAATGTAGATGAGCTGAAGGCCACTGTCAAAGAAACCTGGGCTTCCATACCACCTCAGCAGTGCCACAAACTGATCACCTCGATGCCACGCCGAATTGAGGCAGTAATTAAAGTAAAAGGAGCCCCTACCAAGTATTGAGTACATGTACAGTAAATGAACATACTTTCCAGAAGGCCAACAATTCACTAAAAATTTTTTTATTTTTTATTGGTATTATGAAGTATTCAAATTTGTTGAGATAGTGAATTGGTGGGTTTTTGTTAAATGTGAGCCAAAATCATCACAATTAAAAGAACCAAAGACTTAAACTACTTCAGTCTGTGTGCATTGAATTTATTTAATACACGTGTTTCACAATTTGAGTTGAATTACTGAAATAAATGAACTTTTCCACGACATTCTAATTTATTGAGATGCACCTGTAATTATATGGTAAATTCTGGACCTGGACTGCGCTTCCCAAAAGCATTGTAAGCTTAAGTACATCGTAGAGCCATTGAAACCAATGGAGCTACGATCAACTTAGGCTTACAGTGCTTTTGGGAAACGCAGCCCTGGTTGTTTCCAGAAAACAAGACCAAATATTTCCATTTAAGATTGACTGGTTTTATTTTTAGCTGATTATTTTCACGTTTTTTTATTGTTTGAATTATATTTTCTAAGTAAAGATTTTGAAGCAAATGTTTTAATACCTTGATCTCTTTGTTTTGTTTAATAACAAAAAGTGCAATAACAAAATGCCCAGGAAGTCACATGACATAGTGAATGATCAAACTTTTGGTTTTATTAGGCTGTTTAAATATTATGTCTACTGTCTCATCTGTACATTTTTACTAATATAATCTCTCTTCAAAGGTGGTGAACCTGTTGATGGGTATTCTGTTGACTGTGGCAGTAACTCACCCCGAGAACGTCCCTACTGTTGACCTACAGTATGAAGTTATTGAGCACTACTTTGCTTCAGACAGGATGTCAGGTACATTCATGAGATTTTCGATGATTAAATGTTGTAAACCTATATTTAATACTAATACGGTGCCAAATAATTATACTTTTTGTGCTGTTTGTATATATTTTTGTACTTTATGTATTTTAAAAAACTATACATTTTATTTATTTATAATCTCTAAAATGACAAATTCTCTGTTACCCCTATAGAGAATGCTTGTGTGGGCTTTGCCATCTCTCTCCTTATGCTCACCATTAGTGCCATGATGGTGTATGGGGCCATTACTGTAAGTTTCTATAAATTGGTACATCTGTGCTGTTTGTTAATTGTTTTATGTTGAAAAAAATAATAAAATCGGCACCATCAATCCTTGTGCTGTGCTGAAAATCCTTTACCCGATTTGTTTTTCCTTGTTAATTTCTCATTATTATGATATATTATCACCATATTTTAAATATTGGCAATATTATAGCATAAGAAATTTATTAGCAATTTTTTGTAGGCTGGCCATTTTTAACTAGAAACACTGCAAGTGACCACAAGGGAAAAAATCCCCCCCAAAATAAATGCTGACCGGAAATCAGCATGAGGGTTAAAAAGGTTGTCAAGATGCAATATCAAATATCGCATATAATGCAGTACTATGTTAAACATTGTAAGCTTTCTTTGACATTTAAAGGCAATACAATGAAATGTATCCGTTTTTCCCCAAACATTTGACGTGGTCATGTATTCTAGAATGGAATAATGCATTTCACCACTGTGTTCATCTGTACTTCACAGTCTTGCTTGAAGTCGTCTTTAAAAAACAGGTTGGATCTGTGAACTTTTGTTGTATAGTAGTTTCAGTTGTCAACGCATATCTGCCATACCTGAGCTTTTTACCTCGAGTAAACATTGAGTTTTAACTATGTCTTTTAGACCCTGAGTATCCTCTGACTGCAAATTTTAGGCCTCATAGGCAGTGAAATATTGGTCCAGTAGAGTCACAGCCTTGCTAATAGCTCCCTTTCCATGTTAAGTATTCTCTGATTCAGCACAGCTCCTCTTATTTGCTTAACTGGATGATTCACTATCCCCTGGAGTTTTACAGGTTTGCATCAGCATTAAAATGTTGAGAAACAGTCTAAAAATGAAAGGGTAAAACCCCACCTCATGACACATTTTCCCTCTCGCACAGAATCGTGATGGCTGGCTCATCCCGTTCTTTTGCTATCAGCTGTTTGACTTTGCGCTGAGCTGCCTGGTGGCCATCAGCTCCCTCACGTACCTGCCCAGAATCAAGGACTACCTGGACCAGCTGGTCAGTCTGCCCTCTACTGCCACTGCTGACCGTCTGTCTCTCAAGCCTCTGACATTAGAAGTTAATGTAAAACGCTTAGAGATGTTTTTAATTGGTCTCTTTTAGCCGGACTTCCCATACAAAGACAACCTGCTCTCTCTGGACTCCAGCTGTCTCCTGCTGTTTGTGCTCATCTTCTTTGCCAATCTCATTGTCCTTAAGGTAGATATATGAACCGACACTGAATCTGTTATATGTTTTATTTGTAAGACACGCATTATTTTAGTGTGTGTGTGTTTTTCAGGCCTACCTGATCAACTGTGTTTGGAACTGCTATAAGTACATAAACAACAGGAACACTCCAGAGATTGCCGTCTATCCTGCTTTTGAGACCCCACCTCAGGTATGTCCATTCTAAGTTACTTTGAGTTGAAAAGATGATATTAGATCAGAGTATTGTAATTAGATTAAATATAAAAATAATATTATAATTAGAGAAAGTATATTAGTTAAATTGACAACGTCAACAGCAGCAACAACATTGTACCAATCCAAGCACTACATCATTAACAGGTTTTATACTTAATACAGTCATACTTGGACTGTATTAATTAAAAATGTATTATTGATGTAGTGCTTAGATTAGTGCAATGTTGTTGTTGACTTTGATATCCTGAAACATGGAGATGGAGTTGGTTTTGTTGTGTACTGTTCATCAGTTTACATTTTTCTGAATAAAAAAAAAATCTCTTTGAGCACAGGTGTATAATCTGTACAAATGTTATTTTAGTATTATTTATATACTGTATTATAGTATTATATAATATTTTGAATTAGCTTTTTTATATGTATTAATTTTAGTTTAAGTCTTAGTAATTTTATGTACCTTCAACATTGTTGCTTTTGTATTTCTATGTAGCTTTAATTTTTTTTTCTTCCAGTTTTAGTAATATTTAGTACTTTAACTTGTTTCAGTTAGTTGGCAAGGTAGCTTTTTTGTTTTTAAATTCACTTTTTTCATCAAATATTTCTATTTTATTTCAGCTTTATTTAAATTAGCGAAAATGTTTTTTAAGTTTTCTGTTAACAGTAACAACACTGGTCTGTTGTACTAGTGGATGATGGGAACAGATACAATGGTTTCCTTTTTTGGTGGTCTTTTATTCTGAAAAGGAGAGCATCTTAACCTCCCTCAGTAGTAAAAATGTAGCCCCTCAAAATACACCATTCACTCTATTACAGTAGAGGGCACTCTTTGCCTTCGAAAGAGGTTTTGAGCAATGTTTCTTTTTTCACCAGTCCTCAACAGAACCCAGCTGTATCGTTTTTTTACAGGAAAGTGTCATGTAGTTTTGTCCAGAAATATGACTTTAGATTGGTTTCATTGGCGTCTTCTCTTTATCATAGTACATCCTTCCCACCTATGAAATGGCCATGACAATGCCAGCGAAGGAGCCTCCTCCTCCTTACATGCCAGCTTGAATTCCCCTGACTGGTTTCTTCAGTAAAAGCCAGTGCAGACACCCATCTTTGCCTTTCGATCCTGCCTTTCATTCCAACACATGGAGGGCGTTTAGACTCCCAGCGTCCACTCATCACATCAGCAGCTTACATGTTTGCATAGACTTATCCATGACTCTTTCTTTCGCATGACTCCCGTAACAGTTCATCACTGCAGATCTATTTTTGTAAAACTATAGGAAAACGGCTGAAGAGGCACGGTGTTGGGGAAGAGATCATGTGGTTGTGGCACTTGTAACACTCTAAAGAGAAAGGAAAAAATGAAATCGCATCATATGACCCCTTTAATTACTTAGTGTTGTATCTGAGATTTGAAATGCCATTCTCTTTTGTGGACATCATGACTCGGGCTCTGCAATAAATTGAGCTTATGACAGAATTATATAGTTCATAGTCAATCACTAATGAAATGATTCTGAGATGGGGCAGATAATCTGCCGTTTGAAATTTTTACCAATGAAAGCTTTCACTTTACTTGCCACCTTGAGATCTTTATTTTTCCATGCTTTTCAATGCTGTGTTTTTTCCTGATTGTCATAGTAGAGGAAGTATTGTGAAAATCAACATTGCCCCACAACTTGACAGGGCACTTGCATTTAGAATCACCTAAATCTGTTTTGCTAGTTTAAAAAACTGTTTAGATAATCCAGTGTGATGGTTAAAATATATATTTTTTCCATTGTGTACTTTATTAGTGGCCGTAAGACTTTTATCCTTTCAAACGTGAAAGCTCAAAGCACTTTTTATCTTGTTTATATAGTTTGTGTGTGTGTGTTTTCCATCCATTGAACCATTGTACACCATCATGTTGGCAGCCGTCACAGTGATCTGTTTTTATGGTAACTACTGGGTAATGCTGGTTAACATGCAAGAGGAATCCTCACATGAACAACAATGATAGAGTTTAAAAAAGGAAACTGCTAGTGCTGTATAAATCAATGGATGCATGTTATTTTATTTTGTGGTCTGTTTCTTTTCTTGTACATGTTCTGTAATCTAATTACTTCAATAAACACTTCAAAACAACATACCTGCCATCAGACTTTTCCCCCCAATGGACATTTGGTTCATTAGTATTACTTACTTATGCTTTATTACATCTGTCAGTCTAAAAAGTCTAGTGATTTGATGTGGGACTCCCCCTTCTGTATTTGGATTGGACAAAAATCTGACACGTTTCTTGTCAACCCTTTAAATGTGCAGTCTAGGACGCTGTTGGAATCATACTGGTGTCAGTTAGACGAGAGGACCGCACACAAACTTGAAGCAGACTTGAGAACAACAGAGAAACAATGAAGTCCTTCATTGGGAGTTTGGTATATTGCCTCTCTCTTCTGCTGGTCGATCTCTGTGAATCCTATGACTTTAACAATCCATCCCACATTTTAGCACAAAGTTACGCACAAAGAAGAAATCATGCGCTTCCACACCGGACGCTGAACCCAGCAGGTAAGTTCCTGATCTTAAGCCACTTTCTTAGTTCTAATATTTCTCAGTTAATGTTTGCATTGTATCTTGAACTACTCTACATAACTGCAATGGAACATTTATGGTTTCATTATTTTCCTTGATGCACTACAAAAATTGTTTGTTGACTTTGTGCATGCTGTAACAGGAATATGAATGGAAGTTTCTAGTGCAATGCACAATGTTAGAAATTTGTCTAGTGCATTTATAATAGCAAATGTGAAATAAAATACATGCACATTTAAGTACTGAAGGGATAGTTCACCCATAAATGAAAATTGTCATCTTTTTCTCTGAATCTGAATCTCATCTGTTTAGCTGTGCATTTATTGAATGAGCACTGTGCGATGTCCGAACTGATTGCACTATATTCTATGTATAATCGTTTTCTTAAATTCATTTTAAACCTCTTAAATCAATTTTTTAAAATCATTTTCAAAGTTTTTAAATTCCTTGTTTTATTGTTGTGATTATTCTTTTCTTTTATGTAAAGCACTTTGAATTACCATTGTGTATGAAATGTGCTATATAAATAAACTTGCCTTGCCTTGCCTTGAATGACCTGTATGATTTTTTTTCATCTGTGAAACACAAGAAGATATTTAGAAAAATTTATCTTTTGTCCAAACGATAAAAGTCCCTGGGGTCCGATGTTGTTGGAACCCAATGCTGTTCAAAAATCTTCTTTTGTGTTCTGCAGAAGATAAAAATAAATACAGGTTTGAAATGACATGAGGGTAAGTAAATGATTGTGAACTATTCCTTGAAGTGCATGAATGCTACAAAAAAGCATTTGTGTGATATCTGAGTGGCATGTATTGTAAAATGTTTTAACAATGAGGAATTAGGGCATTGCAAACTATGCCTGTTGTATTTGTTTGACTGACTTTGTGTTTGGCTAATTTCCTCTTCCACTTCAACCTTCTGATGGTCCGTAGTATACAGGAGTAAATACTGGTTAGATGGACCTGATCACCCTAACAAACAGAGGAGGAAGATTTTGCCCCATCTTATCCCAGTAGCTTATCCAGTACCCACAGCTCCTTCTCAACCCAAAGTTCATGACTGGCTCAAAGACACACCAACCACAAAGGTGCATAATACAAATAATAACCAGTATCCAACTGAGGCACGCATGCAGCTGAGAGGTGAATGGGCACCAATAGTTTGCCGAAAATTTAAAGATCCAGAACAAACAGTTGTACTTACAGGAGAATCAGGGGAAAGTACAGGCGTGTCAAAGGTGGTGTCAAATCAACCCATTGTTGTTCCACAACACTCGTATATAGGTCCAGAAAAATCTGTGGTTCTTCCGGAGCAATCAACAAATAACCAGCCAACCATTCCACCGGTTGCTCCTGAGACAGGTTTTTACCAATCAAAGCCATCAATGACCTTGGAAACCTCACTATCTTTGAATCTCTCTCTGCCTCAGAAACCTATGCCACAATCCTTGTCAACATTGGCGCAAGAACCAAATTCACAAGGTGCATTTCCCCAATCCCTTCCAACCACTACCATGACACCTGAGGCATATCCTCAAAGTACCTTCCCCGAATCCCTGCCAACATCCACCCTTACACCGGAGATGTACTCTCAGAGCACTTTATCCCAACCCTTGCCAAAGTTCACCTATTCAAGAGGGCCATATCCTCAAAGAATCCCACCCCAGTCACCGTTAGAGCCATATGACCAAAGTTCCTACTTAGAATCCCTGCCAGTATCCACACTGATACCAGAGACAAATCCTCGAAGCGCTTCACCTCAGCCTGTCCCAGTGTCCACTCATAGATTAAGCCCTTATTCCCCAAAGATCTCATCCCAGTCCCTGTCAACATCCAGTTTGACACAAGAGGCATATCTTCAGACCACCCCACCACAGTTCCTACTAATGTCTACTGTGCCACAAGAATCATTACCAGAGGCACCAAACAGGATTATTACCCACGGCAGGGTAGCCATCACAGGGAGGACAGGTATAATTCCATGTATACTGTACTGCTTTGTTTAACCCTCCATCTGTTCATGCTGGGGTATCCAGTCCTGCTTCTGGAGGGACAATGTCCTGTATAGTTGAGCTCCAACACATGCCTCGAAGCTTCTAGTAATCCTGAAGACCTTCGGGGTTTTCACACCACGTAGTTCTAGGAGCTAGCCAGCATGGTGGTTCCTAGAGAACCAATTTGCCCCTCGGGCCGTTTTCCTGTTCGCATTCGCACCGGCAGCAGGAACTCTGAAGCGGCCGACAGCGATGTCTTTATGCACGGCGTCGACAACCAGTGAATGGAGGATGCGTGATCGGGGCTGTGGGTTTCGTAATAACGGAGATGGAATGTAAACACACAATTTACGCGTTTGATGAAAATCTGACTAAATCTCCAATGACAATTTGTATTATTACATATCATCGAGGCTGAGAAAAGAACACAGCGCTGCAGACAACAGGTAGCTAAATGCTGTTATCGCTGTTTTCCATGTTCATGGAGTAAATATTTTTCCATGGCTTTTTAAAAATGTCGGGTAGTCAGCGTTGCGTATGCATTTGGCCAATCAGCATACACTTACGTCACTGATAGTTCCTATAGAACGGTTTTATACCCTACTCTGAAGTAGAAGCTAATTTAGTTCCCTCAAATGGAGTTCTTAGAATGAAATACGTTCCTATTTCCTGCATTGCGAACACACCAAAAACCGTGTACTTCTGCCAATAGTTCTACAGTTCAAAAGTCCCTTGATTAGTTGGTTCAGGTGTGTTTAGTCTGGATTGGACCTAAACTGCAGGACAGTGGCCCTTCAGTAGCAGGATCTTAAGGTTTCTTTGTTGCAAAGTTGGACAAAGCAAAATGACATTAAGGGCCCAATTATCCTGAGTCATGGCTTATTCCTGCTGTAGGGTACCTTACATATCAGAAAAAGTGAATTTTCCATATTCCAGTGTGTCAAAGTATGTCATTTTGCTGAAATCCAATGGGATTTGTTTTAGAAGTGACCAAACTCAGTTTTTAGTAAATTGACTAATCTAATTTGACTAATCCTTTTGTTTGCATGCAAAGAATATGCTTTACTCACATTCCATTGATTCAAAACATATAACGTCAACTCTAAATCTGGTTGTTTTTCTAAACCTTTCATGAACTAACACGCCAGTCTTCATTATATCATGTTGACATTGACAATTTTGAAGTGCTTAACAATCTCTGCTTAACTCTCAGCAACAGATTCACAATGTAGGAGCCGCCCACTGGACCTGGTCTTCATCATTGACAGCTCACGTAGCGTGCGTCCAGGTGAGTTTGAGAAGGTCAAGATCTTCCTGGCTGACATGGTGGACACTCTTGACGTTGGCCCCGATGCCACACGTGTCGCAGTGGTGAACTATGCCAGCACAGTCAAAATTGAGTTCCTGCTGAAGAACCATCTTAAGAAGGACTCTATAAAGCAAGCCATCAACCGCATCGAACCCCTCGCCGCGGGAACCATGACTGGTATGGCCATCAAGAAAGCCATGGATGAAGCCTTCGCTGAAAAGTCAGGAGCGCGACCTAAATCGAAGAACATCTCCAAGGTTGCCATCATTGTCACTGACGGGCGTCCTCAAGACCAAGTCGAGGAGGTGTCGGCTGCAGCACGAGCTTCGGGGATTGAGATTTACGCAGTCGGAGTGGACAGGGCTGACAAGCAGTCGCTGAAGCTCATGGCCAGCAATCCACTTGAGGACCATGTGTTCTACGTGGAGACCTACGGTGTCATTGAGAAGCTCACCTCAAAGTTCCGGGAGACATTGTGCGGTAGGGTTAATGCAAAAAAGGGGAGATGGGGCTCTATGTCTTTCCTTTTTACAAGATATATCTCAGTCCTTGGAAGTGGGTGATGATTCATTCTCTGGAAAACAGTTGGGTCTGAATACCAAATTAAAAATTGTAGTTTACTTCAGACATTAAATACATGCATTATGATCATTTGGAATTATAGCTTTCAAGGTAATTATCTTGTTTTCCAGAAGTTTGAACCATTGGATCGCAACACATTCTGAAGGACATCTTTCTTCAGTATGTGAGTGCTGAAAAAGTCCACCGATCATTCAAAGAAGCATTCTTCTACGTTTGGCTCTTCTGAATGCTTTGAATCATCTAATGTATGTGCTTTGCATCCGATTTTTGTGGAATGAAGGTCTTGGAATGGAATGCTCTCGGTATTTAATATTGTCAATGTCTTTTCACACAATAGTTTTAAGACTAAGTGTACTTCAAGTATGTTTTTCATAGAAACCTCTGATAATTGAGAGCTTTGAATATTTGACTGATTGTGGATAATTAAAATTGTTTGTCTCTTTCAGGGCAAGAGTCGATCTTTTGGACATTAAAATTGCTCAATCAAGTGCTGTGCTAGTGCTTGCTAGTTACGCCTTCAAAGTGTCCAAACAATTAGCTTAGTGCAGCTGTCAGCTAGTACCATAACATACTGATTTAATGCTAAATGCTATGCAAACTAGGGGCACATAATTTGAGTAATATTATCATATAAGACCCAATAAAAGCCCCATAAAGCTTCCAGTGTATCGTTAAGGGACTTATTACATTAGACATTTAGTACAAGCATTTTTTGTTTTTCTTAAAACTAAAGCAATTTATTTTTAGAAATCCAGACAGTTGCTTGCCCATAAACTTACTCTTGCTAGAGTGGCCTCCTCACTCCAGTCGAGTAATGAAAGCTTGTTCCAGGTATGGACGCCTGTGCAATGGGACATGACTGTGAGCACATATGTGTCAGCAGTGGCTCCTCCTTTTACTGCAAGTGCCGGAAGGGCTATATTTTGAACGAAGACCAGAAAACATGTTCCCTAAAACGTAAGAGCCAGCAGATTATGCTAACTGCTTTACTTTAGATTTTGAAGACATACTTAGTACGAACATATTTGATTTTCTCTAACAATGACTAATTTAAGCTTAATAATAGAGAATGCTTATATTGCGACAATACCAGCAATCCTATTTAACTAACCTATTTAGCTAGCAATTGCTTGCCAGCTTTTTGTTCTGATTGTATTACTTGGTATCATGAGATATCATTTATTTTATTGTGTGCTAAGTTACAGGTTACATGAAGATGTAAATTATGTTCCAAACATAGTGAGCTTCTTTGTCTAATGCCTACATAGGCAGCATTCTAACCATCAGGCAAACTCAAAAAACGAGGCATTTGGGACACTTTATTCATGTCACACAGATAGTGACCTTCACATAAAGCATACAGGAGGCTTGACACAAAAAGAGTCCAATGAGCATAAAAATTAGCATGCAAAACTTCATGAGAATAGAAACACATAGCACAAATATTTGTTAAAGATTTTAATTAGAATGAATGCACCGCTACATTAGATTTTGGCCAGAATTATATTTTAGAACGCAGCATAATTATGTAGCTGATGTTTCAGAACAGTCTTTGCGCTTTAAGATACATTGTTTCAAGGCAGCTCACTCCGTTTTGGAACAGAGCTGTAATTTAGCTAAATGTGTGCAATGTAATGATTTTTGTCCTACAATCCAGCTCACTAGCAGCTGAATTCTGGAATTCTAGCCACTGATTCAATCCATTCAAAATCACTGTTGAATTACTGTGAACTTTTTTGTTCTGTACTGTTTCATTGACAAAACAGTATAGCAATAACATCAGTGTCAGTGTGCTGTACGTCTGAGACAGATGACAAACCATAGCTACATTTTTACAGGCAGATAGTTTTTCATTTTGGGGCAAATGGAGCAGGGCGCATATTGGTTACATGTTGGCTTGAAAATGTCAGGAAATTAAGTTTAAAATTCAAAACTTAAAAGATTTTTCAGTTTATTATTAAAGTATCATATACAAATTCTTAAAACAAGATAAATTTATTTTAAAAGTACCTTGTTTTACTTAAAATGTGTGAAAAGTCAATGTATATTACATATATATAATTATAAATATACATATATTTTTCCTAGTTAATATATTAACTAGGAAAAAATTATTGGGAACAATATTATTTGCCGTACAGAGTTCAACGTTTTTATTTCGCCAATTACTTCCAAAAATCTCATTGATGAGTAAGTGATAGTGTTGAATTGGTTTCTTGCTTCAAATCAGATAATAAGCTTGGTCATAATTAAAATTTTCACTGTTTTACACAACATTTTCCAAATCCCCAAAGCCTTCAATGGAAAATTCCTAATGTTTGTTTTTAAGGAAATTATCTTGCACAATATTGCCAGTGTTACTGTAGATGTCCTATGGCTTGTTCCAGATATGGATGCCTGTGAAATAGGACACAGCTGTCAACACATTTGTGTGAGCAGTGGCAACTCGTATCACTGCAAATGCCGCTCAGGCTTTGTCTTGAACGACGACCTGCGAACATGCTCCATTAGAGGCGCTGGCGCTTACGGACATGGTGACAGTGTACACAAGGGTGACCGAAACAAAAAGAATGATGGCAACCAAAATGGTGAAGGTAGTGCTAGTGAGTTATGATCAGAAATGACTATGACTTCATTCATACCATTTCGTGATCTAAAAACATCAAATTAAATTCCATCAAAGCATTAGACTTAGTTTGTGATCAGATTGCTATTAATATTGTTTTAAAGAAATTTTAAATTAATTTTGCAACATGTCCCAATGGACATTCTGAAACCCCCCACCTTTTGGTCTGCACTATGGCTTATTTCAGGTATGGATTCCTGTGCGTTGGGCCACGACTGCCAACACACATGCATCTCCAGCGATTCCTCCTATTACTGCTCGTGTCCTCCTGGCTTTGTCTTGATGCAGGACAAGAAATCATGTTTTCAAGCCAGTGACGCTGATGGAGATGGTAGTGGCAGTGAGTTTTCTGCTTCAGACCTTCATAAATGGTATTGCTATCATACCATTTTATGATAGGTTTCTGTAGCGAGCTGAGAATTATGTTTGTCTTGTGGAATATTCTCTTAAGGAGAATTTTACATAACGGTGAACAATTAGAGCTATAAAATAATTTAGTTGTATTTTCTGTCATGTGTTGCCGAGATTTGTTAGCTTCAGGGCTCTAGAGTTTTAACTTATTGCAGGTCTGGACTACTGTGTGCTGGGTCATGAATGTGAACACATTTGTGTCAACGATGATGCTTCCTATCACTGTGAGTGCCACCGGGGTTTTGTGTTGCAAGAAGACCAGAAAACATGTTCCAAAAAACGTAAGAGTTTATAGAAGTACCATTCAAACATGTTTTCTGTAACCATCCACTTCATGTGCTGTGGGCAGGAATGATACCTATACGAAAAATGGGTAATAATTCCAATAGACGTTGATATTGGAAATAATGAATCCAATAGCCACTGAATATTGGAGAGAGAAAAAAATCAAACGAGCACCACTAAAAACAGTATTTTTCACATGATGGTATATTATGTAGTGGGCAATGCCTAACCATTAAGTCTTCTTGTATTATGTTTCAAATTTATTTTAATGTTTTCGAATGTTTGAAGAACATCTCTTAATGCTTACCAAGCAATGCAATTATTTGATTTAAAAGAAAAAAATATATATATTATTACAATATTTATGTTTATGTATTCCTGTAATGGCAAAGCTGAATTTTCAGTAGTCATTACTGCAGTCATGGTCATTCAGAAATAATTAAAATTAAAAATTATATATATACTTTTTTTCTCTCATGCTCACCAAGGTTGCATTTATTTGATAAAAAAAAAAACACACACAAACAGTAATATTGTGAAATACTATAGTTATTTAAAAGACCTGTTTTCCATTTATCCCTGAGATGGCAAAGCTAAATTACTCCAGTCATGATCCTACAGAAATCATTCATTAAAATATACTGTAGTCACTAGAGAAACTTCATCTGTCAGTGTCTTGTAATTTCTGACATGTTGAGTCAGGTGACGCTGATTCAACATCGATGTAAACTCATAATATGTAACACTCTCACAATGTTGTGAGAAATTCAGAAAAGAACAACATTGCATAAACTGTGTTGAAAAGTGTTACATATTTGCTAAGAAACTTTCACTTTGTGCTTGGGTGGGGGTGGGGGGGTAGATAGTTTGATCTATAATTACCCCTAATTCACATCACCCTTTGCGAGGTATTTCTGTGATGTTTGTTGTTTGATTGTGATGTGAAGAGGTGAAGGTGGAGATCGTTCAGGACCCCTGCATGTGTGAGGCCCGACTGGCTTTCCAGAGGCAGACACAAACCTCCCTACAGGACCTCAACGCCAAACATATCCTTTCGAAATAACATCACACGTCAATAACGTTCTTCAGTTATGTATGAACTACATTGGGGCCTTTAGTGGAACTACATTTCCCATAATGAATGCAATGCAAGTCATCTCTCTTAATAGAATAATCCACACAAAAATCTTAATTCTAACATCATTTGCTGAGCTTTATTCCTTTTATATTTGTTTCTGGAAACAGTGTATTTCAAACCCTTTAACCTTAACAGTCGTTATACTTGCTGCTGTCACAAGAAAGGTTGAGCAAATGGAAAACATGCTGGGACGCATGTAACAGAGCAGTTCTTGGTAAGCATTGATTCTCTGAAGCATTGATTTATGATGATAAAACATTTAAAAGTTTGATTTTTACTTCTGTTCATCAGGGTCAACATGTTCTGTGAACTTTCAGCAATTACTGGAGTGGATATGAAGCACTAGACAACAAGACGGCTTCGATTTCATCACTGAAACTTCATCACGGGCCACACTGATCACATGAATGGCTTTAAAACTGGATCACAGTGGCTGATGTTCAGATGAAGTTTCTTAAACCACGTTCACAAAAAAAAAAAAAAGAATATTAACCATATTCAAATAGTAATTAATATTAATAAGAGATTAAATCATGCATGAAGTGCTGCAATGTTTTATAATGATGTTCTTTTGCTCCCCAGAAATGGTCAAAAGAAATCTCTCCATTTAAATAGACTAAATTATACCACGTATTGTAACCAATTTTACTAAGGATCACTATCAAAGGTGTATTTTTTTATTGCTTATGTTCATGTCAAAGAAAGAATGTTCATGTTTGTATTGTTTAATCTTATGTAGACTCTCATGTATCAAGTTAAATAAAGACATTTATAACCAAGCAGTAATATTCATTATATTAAAACTTGAAATACTTCGAATCAACAGTCTCAAAGTCTCTGTTCATAATATTTGCCTTGATTTCATAGCTCACAGTGTACTGAAACGATACAGGCGTCGCTATAGAAATCATCTTCACGTAGTTCAGCTAGACAGACTATAGGTTTAACAGTAAGATGTGAAGAACTTGTCTGTCTGCAACCACTGTGAGATGTGCTTGAATCAATATCTCGACCATTACAGACCAACTGTAGACCTTCAGACTAGCCGTTGACTAAACATAATCGTATAATCACTGGCCAGGTGAACTGCACGAAAACATGTTCTTGACAAGCTTTGTGAAATTCCCCTGATCAGGATATTCATCTATTTAATCACACATGCTATACAAACATTTGAACATCCCGCAAATTCAGGCAGACAGAGAACATCAAAATCCCTCTCATCCCAAATCCCATCTCAAATCGATTCACAACCTACAGGAATTGGGACATTTTCAAGATCACATCAACTGATATTTCTCAATCACCTGTTAAAGCAAACAAAGAAAGTATTCATCTGGTTGCAAGGAGATGAAATGAAAGAGATCTTTAGGAGAGGGGAGATCAGGACTGTTCAAGGCTTTGCTCACATGAGACTTCAATGTAACATGTTAATTCTCACAGCAAACACCAATATTTGGGTCATAAGGGTGAGCAAAGATCATTCGATTCGAGGTCTCCAAGTTCACTGAAATCTAGGTGACGGTGCACCAGGCGCCATTGGTGCACTTGAAACTGTTCACCTTTTTGAAATAGGCTCTACAATATTTCTGCTGTCTTGTTTTTGACTGGCACACTGTGGTGGCCATGAATGATCTGTATTCTCTTCAAAGCATTCCCAGTGTTCACATTTACCTTCCACCTGTCTCTGAAACCATCTATTCTGTCATAGACTGGGCGAAAAACAGGTCTGGTAAATATTTTCACATCCTAACCTCAAGGTAAGCAAGGAGATGAGAAATTTCCCAGCAAATCACCACAGTTGAAAAAAAAAGGTTAGGTATGTCCATCATTAAAAAAAATGGTATGCTGAAAGGCAGTGCATATTGACATACCCAGAGGTGAATTTCTGTGCAGTTTGTTTTTGTGATTATGAGGACATGGGGAGAAACGCTAGACATCTTACAGGTTGGCCTATATTTGCGCTTTATGTAGAATTAGCAAAGTAATACAACATTAGTTGCAATATTTATGCAGTAGGCCTATGTATGGTGAATTTCCTGTAAGTTATTTTGATATGGTAATCACTGCATATACCTACTTAACATCTGCGTGGCTCTGGCACAGTAGACTACTGTTTTGTACCGGTAAACCTGAGTGCGATACAAACAACTGTTTATTTCACATGTTTACGTTGTAATAAATACATAAAGTGAAAATGTATTTTGATATAATCTTCAACTAAATGTTATGATACAAAACTAAATGACAAAATCAAATAGGCTAATGGTAGCCTAGCTAAAATGTTTTCGAGAATGTTATATATTTAGCTGCAGGGGATTTACCTTCACAGCATTCCATCATTATTTAATGTGGCGCTTTGAAACTGTACTTGGTAATTTTATTTAGCTTTTGAGCGCTAATTATTACGCTTCGGCTCAGAAGGGTGCGCTCGCGTACCACCAGTACATAGAAACATCTACTTGGCAAACTATCTAATTCTCATGAATATTAATTAGGTTCAATGACTGGACGTTCCAGGAAAAGTAAAACAACGTCAGTACGCACTAATTAATATGCATGAGCTTATTATCGCCAGTAGTAGACAGTAGTGATGGGAAGTTCGGTTCTTTTCCGCGAACCGGTTCTTTCGGACAGTTCGATTCAATAAACCGGTTGAAAAAACCGGTTCACCGGTTCTTTTACGCTCGACGTAATG